AAGCATTTCTGTTCACACCCTTTCAGTCACTCCAGTGAACCTGTTCACTGAAGAATGTCAGAGTGGGGACGTATGGTTGCTGTCAGTGAGATCTGTGCTTCTGAATTTAAGCCAAATCTTAGCTCTTAAATACCTGCTGTCAGTTACGGTCATTCCAGGGCCTGCATTTTGTCAGGCGATTTCTGAACTCTTTTTGTACCATCATTGCTCTGATGGATGGTCATTGCTTAAAGTAGCTGCATTCCCTGGAGAGGACAAAACAGCAACTCGTATTTTGGTATCTATAACTAATGTGACGACAGATTTAGTGAATTAGTTTGAAAGTGTTTTTTATCCTTATTCGTTTGTTTTAGCCAGCTTTTTTAAAAAAATTATTAAAAAAAGGAAATATAATGCCGAAAGAATAATTCATAGAAAACTAAATTCTTTCTCCCCCTTGGTTATTCCATCAGTTTGTTTCTGGTATTTGAAATCAATTAGAAGTATGTTTTTAATATTTCAATTGATATTAAAATGCTAATTAAAAATTCAGAGACTTGGATCACAACCTGAAAATACTAACTTTCCAGAAGAATGATTAGGGAATTTGAAAAGTAGTAACACTTGGTTGTATCTTACTACAAAACTTTCCTGTCCAAGAATGTTACTTTGTGTTTTGTACAATACATGTGATCACATTACATTATATTGCATATCTTTCTCCATACACTGTACATTGTGTTTGTTGCTTAATTAACCAGTATCTGTTTGCTTCCATTAAGTAGCCACATTAAGCATATTGTTGTCGATGTTTGGGTAGAAGTGTTACTAACTGATTGTGCTCAGTAATGGGATGAGGGAATAATCATTTACCATCCAGTTGAAAATCTGCAACATGGGACTTCAATTTTGATTTTAGTTTGTCTCTTGTTTATTCTGAAACCTTATTTTACAACTTGGGAAATTGTCAAATTAAGAGATTTTACATAAACTCCATAAAGTTCTATAAGATATTATGACACTTGATGCTTTTTTTATTACTAGGTGCACTATTAATGATACAATTTTATTTTTACACTGGAAAACCAAATAAGTATGATAAATAAACCAGTATAATTTCTAGCGTTAACCACCGTGGCCTCAACCCTTTGAAAATTGAATTGGAAACCATTTCCGTACATCTAAACTGCTGCCTTGTGATGTTATTAATATAGGTAGGTTTGATGTAGGTTTTATTTTCACAGTTCTGAAACTGTAAAAGTGTCATGGGTCAGGAATATATTTTGTAACATACCAAGCTTTTCATTTTACATAAAATTCCTAATATCTGGAAAATCAGAACAGTGCTGCAATGTACAATTACCAACAAATCAAAAATCTCAAGCATAGCTCTTGTATTTAAAATTTTCCATTAAACATCAAACACTTTTCTCTGTGGGCAGATCAAATAAACTCATAAGTCTGTGTAATGGTTATGTCCTCTAACAATCAGGTATTCATTATTACTAACACGTGGTCTCATCTTGTAAAAGGCCTCAATGTGAATTCTTCCCTTCAGTTGATCTTCCCTCATTACATGTTGCTCTGCACAAGGAAGAACAAATATTTCTGTTTGTGTAACAGATTTGCTCAAAATCTTCCATTAGTTATCCCCCAATCAATTTTGTAAACTTTATTAATTAACATTATGTATTCAGGATTTTTTTTTGTAACTTCAATTCCTCTTTATGACGTGCCATTTATTTACTATTTTTGCAGCAAAATTCTTTGTTCAGTTCATTGGCATTGATTACATTAGTATTTTTAAGCAATGGATAATTTGACATCTAACAATGTTAGAAGTCAAATTATCTATGTTAGTCTAAGAGGGTGATAGTTGTAAGCGTAAGAGGAATTACCTTTTGTAGTTATAGGAACAACTTGACCAAATTTCTAAGGAGAGGGAAGAATATTACTACAGGTAGCGGTAGTTTTACAACAACAAAGATTTGAGGGAGAGAGTTCCAGAGTTTTGGGGTGTAGTGCAGGCACGGCTGCCGATGGTGGAACAGAGGGGACGAGGACAAGCAGGCGGAGGAGCCAGTCGAGCGGAAGCGACGGGTAGCAGAGTGGGGAGGAAGCAGGTCGCAGAGCTAGGAAGGTGTCATGGGATGAAGGGATTTGTAGACGAGTGTGAGGATCTTGAAGTCGATCTATTCTATGACAGGGTCCAATGTTACCTGGAAAGGACTGGTAGGAGAGTTTAGTACGGATGGGTATATGGGTAGTAGAGTTTTGAATTAAATGGAGTTTAGGGATTGTGGAGCTGGGGGGACCAACAAGTAGAGCGTTGGAATAATTCAGGTGGGAGGTGAAGAAAGGGTGGTTGAGGGTTTCAGCTGCGTTGGACGTAAGGTATGGTCGGAGGTGGGCAATGTGACAGGTGGAGGAAAGCTGTCCTGGTCAGGGACTGGATGTGAGGAATGAAGGACACCTGGGGATCGAATCTGATTCCAGGTTGTGCACATGTTTGTTAAGTCTTAGGGAAAGGGCTGGGAGGTTGACGAGGTCAGAGCCACAAGAGAGAAGACATTGACAGGAGCCAAGGAGTATGTCTTCCGTCTTGTCAACATTCAGCTGCAGGAAGTTTTCACACATCCATCCAGACCTTGATGTTTGATAAACAAGCTGACAGAACATCAGCAGATCAGGAGTCACAGCTGGAAGAGAGGAAGTAGATCTGGGTGTCATCCACATACACATGCAAGTTGACCCCATGTCTGCGGACGACATCGCTGAGAGAGATTAGTCATAACATTACAGAATCTTACGACACAGAAGGAGGTCATTCTGCCTATTGTGCCTGTGCCGACCCTTTGAAAGAGCTACCCAATTAATCCCACTACCCCACTCTTTGCCCATAACCTTGAAATGTTTTCCTATTCAAGCATATGTACAATTCCCTTTTGAAAGTTATTGTTGAATCTGCTTCCACCAGATCGTAACAACTCGCTGCGTTTATATATTTTTAAACAATCTCCTCCCTGGTTCTTTTCCAATTATTTTAAATCTGTGTCCTCTGGTTATTGAGCCACTTACCAGTGGAAACAGTCTGTTTGAATAGAAAAGTATTATAAGATAGGCATGCTGGTATGGTCACAATATACTTCAGAAAGAGTTTAACGTGGCAAAAGTATGGAATTTTGTGGTAGTTGAATAATGAAAGCAATATATTGTATTGCGACAAGTTTTTCAAAGAGATTCGACTATGATAGTTACATCAGACCGCACATTATTTTTATTAAAACCAAAATAGTGGGGTTTGTGTGTCAAACATTGCATGATGCGTAGCGAGTTACATGAGCAAGTATATATTGCTTTTCAGTAGGAAAGGATAAACCATAGAAAAGTATGCTGTTCCAGTCAAATTCTTGATATACAGATTAAATGTTGTGCACAGGCTATTCCCAGCGGGCATGAAAATTATGTTCTAAACTGAAGGTAAAGAAAGACTGCATATTTGCATCTATATTATGTGCACAACTAATTAATTATACCTCAAAATCCATCTGCATTTTAAGTAATTTAATATTCTGTTCTTTGTATTATATTGTACTTTTAAAAATAAATGGTTCCTTATCTCAAAGGAAACAATATCTTGTCACTTATATCAGTAAAGGTCTTCTTTGGAACGGGTAGTCTGCGAACTGTTAAAACAGTCATAACTGTTCCACATGGAGTCCAGTTATTACTTTCAGTTGCCATGGTAAGGAATATATAAGACAGGCTCGATGGGATAGAGAGAGCAAGCATGGTAAGACGGCCTATGTTAAGGATTGTTATGGGCAAGGAAATATTTTCTTCATAGGGGGGGTAATCAAAATAGACCTAACACATCAAAGTATACCTGTACGTTCACCTAAAAAATATACAGTCACTGTACTTTACAGTAAAATCCCATGGAGTACTTTGAGACATCTTCCTGAAATGAAAGGCAGCTTGTCAAACCTAACTTTTATTATGATTATTATTATAATCAATAGCTGGAACAGGTTAGTAAGTTTGATTGACGTCTGGTCAAAATATTCATTTTAGAAACAACTTGATGCTGTATTGAGAAGTACAGAAGAACCCAATTAGTAGATGATAGTTGGTGTACATGTGATCCTAATAAGGATTATAAAGGAACAAAGTTGCTGGTCTGCACTTCCACATTTACTCCATGAATGCATAAAGCTGCTTTGCTTCAAAACACTAGCCAATGCTTTGCAGCAAGCTGGATGATTTGCACATATTTTGGATTATTTTAATAAGTAAAGGCTGAAGTGCCTTTTTCATCCAAATCTTTTTTGCAATCTTGTGAAGAGAAACTTGCTCTACCCAGCACTGGTACATTTTAATTTAAAACTTGGGAAATGTAAAAATGTTCTTAAAATTTGAAAATAAGACTAACTGCATTAACTGGAGAAAAATAGCCACAAGCCATAGCCTTATCTTTAAATTCTTTCTGGATTACATTGAATAATAGTTTTCCTTTAGTGCTATTAGTTGTTGTGATGCCAAAATCTTTTAGAGGTTCTGAGGCAAAATTTACAGTATTCATTGATCTACTCCTTGTGTTAATCCACACAAATGCTACAAAATTTGGATCTATAGCTTTCTAACTTAAGATTTAGAAATCTCTTTAGTTTTCCCCCCATCTCTTTAGTTTTCTCCCCATTAGGGCTAAATTATTCTTTTTTAGGGTACTTTCCCTTAAAGTGAAAGAGTTGATTTATATTTGAGAGTTCACATTTTATGCAGGAGAGAGAATCTCCACTAAGAAAAGCACTTTAAGTGCTAATCAGATATGGACTTTCTTGTTAAATAACGATGAAGCTGTTTTAAAAGGATAACTTAACCACTTAGGACAATCGTTTTTGTATTCTCTAATACATTACAATGGAAAACATCAGTCTGTCTAAAATGCAGTTTGCCCACAAGAAGTGACATTGGTGAAATTGTAACAATCCTGTTCAATGTTTCCTCTTTTTTCATTTCAGACATCGAACTAGAGGATGTCTTTGGATTGAACGGACAAATAGAACATAAACTAGCGTTCCTCAGGAAATATGTGCCAGAAGATGTGAAGATTGTACTAATAGGCCACTCTATTGGTTGTTATATTATACTAGAAATGATGAAACGTGAACCACAATTACAGGTATGTTTTTGCGATAGGAAAAGTCATATTTCTAATTCATAACCTATAGAGGATTCAGAGCAAAGTATCAGTGGATCATGTTTATCTAATTTTGAGTGACCTATATAGTATTTATATTAGTTCTATAAACCTGCAAGGGCAGATCCATTTGTAATGACGATTATTAATAATTTAGAAGACTAATTGTGATGTTGTAATATGCTAACACATTGTTGAATTGACCTTAAGATAATTAGCAATTTACTGGTCTCTTGGTGTGCTGGTGTCAAGGTTCATCCTCTTTTATACACACACACACACACACAGACACCCTTCTCAACAGTCACTCCATGAAGCCAGCCATGCATTGGATTGCTGGCTCATGGATTATAGCACTGGATAATTAGCAGCATACTGATTTAGCCAGACAAAAAAGAGTAAAAGGGGTTTCCCTGGGAAGAATTAGCAAAACAGTCATTGACTAATAGAAATTTACAGTGCAGAAGGAGGCCACTGGCCATTTAGAGCAAGCTGTACGTTCAACATTATCTGTTCAATATTGTCTGTTTTTGCCTATAACAGCCACCTTCAAAAAGCATATTCATCAACGTGACAGACTGCTGTAGTTGTTTTTGACATGTTAAATTATACCACATGAGACTGCTCCTGGATTCTGTCTCCTGCCTCGTTAGGTTGAAGTTACATTAAATGTGTGTGTGTGTGCGTGTTATGTCCTTTGAATTTCTACTCAAGATTTCTGCTCCCTCCTCCAGTCAGAAAAGGTTGCAGATTAGAATGAGTCTTTAAAAGAGTGCAGTTAGGGGAATCACCTGAGTAACGTAATGGTGTAAGGCACACGCTTATAAAAGGGGCAGTGTCCCTTTTGTTTCCTTAGCACTCATCCCCACAGATAATGGTGAATACAAATTAAATTTGGAGGTTGGAACTTCTTTAAGAGATTAGATTGTTAAACAATTTTTTTATATAGAATGCATGCATTATGAAACTTTTGGGGTCTCATCTTTATAGGTACACATGTGACTATGCAGCTATAAACAGTGTTATAATAAATAATAACGTGCATTTATATAGCACCTTTCACGTAAAAATAAACATCTTGAAATGTTTTAGAAAATATAATTGATCAGAGATGAAAGTAAATGTTATATAGGCAAACACGGCAACTAATCTGTGCCAGGAATGTCCCATAAACAACAATAAGATGAGCAGCCAATTATTTTGCCAATGTTATTACCTTAATAACTTGAAAGCCTTTCAGTTTAATCTAACATGGGACTTATTTTCTTCAAAGTCTTGGGCCATTTTTAAAAATGGACACATGGAAATAATCCATGAATTCGGTTTCTATGACTCTGATCTTCAGGAACCATCCTATAGGTGTACAACAGAAATACAGCAAAAATGGTTGTAAATTTTAACATACATTCTTAACTTTAAAACGTGGACCTATTTTAAAAGTCGGAGAGTTACAAGAAACTATCATCGACAATAACAACCAAAATTTACCTCCAATGACCAAAATAACCTCAGTTTGTGGACTGTCATTTGCTGCATTGATATAAAAATTACCCACAACGCTCAGCAGTGCTTGAGAAAACCTTATTAACTGATTAATTCAGTTGCCTCAGACTGTTTCAAGCCTCTCCCCCAGACACAAACCACACACAAATACATACACACACACAGATAATGTCGTCAGCATCAGCAATTGGTGGTTAAAGAGAAGTCCACATAAAATTAGGTGAAATAGCTGGAAAAAAGTAAAGTTAATCACTTTTTTTTTATATCCAAAGTGATCCTGATGGCAACAATCACACTCTGTTTATATTTTTAACAATGATTCTGTGGAGATAATTCCTTAACAGATTTTTGATTCACTGTAACATTTGTATGCTCTAGTGACTTGTCGGTAAGGATTCTACAGTGTGATCTCTATAGTCTTTCACAGCAGGACATTCTGAATATTGCTCGCATTCTAGCTGCATTTTAATTGATCGTAACTTGGGCCAATAGAAAAGTGCTGCCGCAATTTTTCCACGGAATCCACTATAAACAGCACCCTCCGCTATAAAAACGCTAAAAAATTAAGTTTCTGGCGCCCGGACCTCTCACGCTGTATATCTGACTCAACTGGTGGAGTTGCATTCTGGACTTGCATTGGCTCCACACGGAGGACCCACTGTTGAGATTGTCTGTGTGAGTGTGTCTCTCTCTCTTCTGAATGTGTTTGTGAGCGTCTCTATGCAAGTTTGTTTTTCCTCTGTATGTGTTTGTGAGTGTCTGCGTGTCTCTCTCCTCTGTATGTGTGTTTGTTTGTGAGTGTGTCTGTGCATCTTTCTCCTCGCTGTATGTGTTTGTGAGTGTCTCTGTGAGTGTCTGTGCATCTCTCTCCTCTATGTATGTGTTTGTGAGTGTGTCTATGTGGGTCTTTTTTATGTGTGTGTGTGTGTTTATGAGTGTCTCTGTGTGAATGGGTATGTGTGGCTCTCTCGCCTCTGTCTGTGTGTGTGTGAGTCCCAGCGCTTTGGGACGTCCTCCCGACGTGAAAGCCACTCTATAAATGTAATTTTGTTGTAGTGTGTGTTTGTGTCTATGAGTGTGTGGTCTCTCTCTGTTTATGAATGTGTCTCTCTCTGTGTATGTGAGTGTGTGTCTCTGTGTCTGTCTCTCTTTCTGTGTCTCTGTGTCTGTTTGAGGTCCTGGGCCCTGAGAGGCAGATGAGCTCCTCTAGCCCTCCAGTCAGGACACTGGTCCTGAGTCTCTGATTTTTATCTTTAGTGGCTCTCCACGACCTTCGAGTGTACACTGGTGTGTGTCACCACCCCCCCGCCCCCACCACCCACCCCAGACCGGCCACCCAGAATTTTGTTAAGGAAGAAATTCATTTTTTTTGCAACAATCTAATATGTGTTATTTCCTCATGTTTCGTTTTTATCAATAAAGTGAGAAAATGTGGGTTGACAGTAAAATGTACCTCAATAGCACCAATCAACCCCTGCAATTTTGGGCAAATTTTCTGCATTTTTCTATTGGCCCAGATCATAATTATTGGTCTAAAGGGAGTGAAAATCTCGACTTCCATTGTGTTTTATTATAAACACAGTGGTTGTGTATGGTGCACATTCACCCTGAAACATGTAATACAGAAGGGCAAGAAGTCCAAACATTTCCTTATTTCTCACATAGTCATATAGTCAAATCTCACAAATAACAGAAATACTTCATTAAACGTGGGATTTTTAGGAGGTAGAAAAGCAACCCAATAATATATTGGATCATTTGTTCATCGTTATGATTTGCACACAATGAAAAACATATAGAAAGCTCTTTGGCAAAGTGTCAAAACAATGCTATCCGAGTCAATCCTGGAACAGTGCCTTTCAGTGAACATTTCAAATTGGAAACATACTTCCATTTTAAAGAGACAGTATCCCTTTTGTTGACCTACATAGTAGCTAAATTCAGCGCTGTGTTGAGCATTGAAACTCAAACCTCACATTATTCTGTTTCACAGTAAATATCCTACTCCTTTATAGTTAAACCATAACTGCTAACATCAGCTGTCATTCTTGTTGCAAGGCCTGAGCAAATTATTTGGTGATTTTCAGATTTATTTGAAGTTAACTTGATATGAATTTATGCTGAACTCCAGCATATGTTGCAAGTCATGTTGTGTCGATTTTTTCCCGTCAGTCCGTAATACAGCATTTTGTCAGTCAGCCAACAAAAATAAATACTGCGACTCTACAATCTGAGTCCAATAAATATTTAGACACTTCTATACAAATTACTGTTCACACTTCTCTCTCCCATTCTTTTAGTCAAGGGGCTCTACTGTTTCCAGAATGTTTTTGTCAAAAGAGGTTTCAAAACAAAATACGTTCCTGCTCCTATCCTTTGTAGAAGAGAATAAACCTGTTTTCATTTCTAGTGCACGAATACTGTAATGCACAATTTGACACCACATTGCACAGCCATATTATTAGCTTTCACTTAGAATGCTTGGTCAATATGATTGTGATTACAATAATCCTTCATTGATGACCAGTTGAGCAAGTTCCTTGAGTCCAAAACTTTCCCTATTTTTGTCTTCGCAAGATAAATAAATATCAGACATCAAATACGCATCAAATACAGATTAATTTATTTTAAGATTTTAGTTGAACTTCTTCATTCAAGTTTATGGCGTTTCTTTTAAAAACAGGAAACCTCACATGAGTCGTTTCAGTTGGGACCGTACATTTAAAATAACTTATGCAAAGTATGAATTATGTGAAACTTATAAGTAATAGGAAATTCAACGGGACTTGGGAAGATGTACGTCTTAGGCGATTATACAATTTATACAGATTAGAATTATGCGAGTTTTATTGTAGTTCATGTATTTTTCAGGGTAAATATTTACCGTCATTCACTTCCCTGTGCCATTTATGCTGATTTCACACTACACCTTTGTCACCATGCTGATACAGTCTGCCTAATATTACGCTTTCTGTACTTGCTTTCTGAATCCACCATCTTCTGCCTTTTCAGAAAGATATTTAATGTTTTGAGTCAATTGATACTTTTGATTCCATTGCCATTGCTGCCCAATTATTCTTAAGTAAATAACATTTTCGTCTTTTGAGTGAATAGTACTAGCTGAATTCCCTATTTACTCTGAAGCTATGTTTATACAGTAAAAAAAAACTGTCTTGCTTCCAGCTTCAGCATGATGTGAATCAGCAAACCTTATTTATACTTCCTACTCCTCATCGTATTTTGGAAGGACTTTTAAAAACAGCTAAATTCAAAATCTATGGTCCATGAACAACTCTTGAAATTTGTGTCTCTGTCAATAGTTTGCATGAATCAGTTTTATCTGTTCAGTTTTTGAAATGAACTTCTATCATGTTACCTCAAAGTGTCCTTTTTTGCAATGAGAATAAGTACAACTTCCTTATCTTTCTTCATAATTTAGAATCCGGAAACTGAGTGATGTCTTGTTTGTCAATTTAATC